TCCATTTTTCAGACACTACCACATATTTTACTTTTTGCAAAAATTATATTATTTAAAAAGATATTCCTAAGAAAATCCATGTATATTCTGATTCTATATTTCTAAAATTTTTCAAAATATTCAAATATTTATTTATATTGAACCTTTCGTGACATCAAATCGAGTAGACCATGATTCACTTTGTGTGTAATATTGGACTGTGGCCAATAAGAATTATATTGTCAAATTCCTTTTAAAACGATTTGCTAGTTTCGTAATAAATTGAATAATTTTTTCTACACTGCTGCTTTCAATATTTTTGTTTAATATGTCGCTACCCTTCTATAGGCTTTAGTTATTTTTCTTCTTATTTCCATGACAATGAAAAATACCTTTGAGTAAGTAGTATTCTGAACCCCATTACCTGGCACGTTTCTTCATTTTTCAGAATGTATATCTACATACATACAAACATGTATAAAGTTTAAAGAAAAATAAAAACTATTTTTATGATGATTTTCAAATATTTTACCGCCTGGCGCGTGTTCTGATTTATAATTGCTGTCTGCTGAGGATTCTAAAAAAGTGAAAGTTTTTTTTTGAAACATATATTCTCATAAATTTAACACAAATCTGTACTTGTTGAAAAAATACTTTGTTTGGTCTGAGTAAAATATGATATGTTTAACAAAACAAATTAGAGCAGAAAATATTGTACACAGAATTTTGGAAAAAATACAATAAAAATAAATAGAGAAAACAACAGTATTAATAAAAATAAGTAAACACAAATTATTTAGAAAATACCGGTGAACTAATATTTTTGTTGTTGTCAAGGAATTTGTTTCTTGTATTCATTTCAGACAAATGGGACCGCCACAGTTCAAGGCCTGATTTTGTATGAATTTTCAAGGTCATTTATTTTTATTTGACGGTCATAAAAAAATACTTTTTCTAAGGACTAGGGATGACATAAACAATCATTGTTCGCGGACCACAAGCCTTACAACAAAAAATTTTTGAGAATTGTATAGATTTGCCGTTTCAATGGTGAACTTGTTTATAGGAATCTGAAAGAAAATTATCACATGCTCCTTGCTCTTACACCTTCAGTTTCTTACCAATTAGTCGGTATTCCGCAGGTTCCTGATTTCCACAATTAATGTGTCAGTACGAATTGACATGCCCAATCCAAAGGTTTTTACGATCCACTTCATCGGTTTGACAGATGGGTGATGTGAGCGATCCTTGCGTTGAGATAGAAGGTTTGACTTTCGTCTACTATTTCTTTGTAGGGACGCAACCTAATATTACGAATCAGCTTGTTCCGCTACATGCGACTTGGTTGTCTTTTTCGAGTCTGGTCACTGATCATCTGAGGCCCGCATCCTATTCACAGCCACAGGCCCGTCGAATTCGACATTGCTATTTTGAAAATACCCTTCTTCGCGTTCGCCACTATATATGTTCATTTCGATTTGCCAATTATATATTTTATCATAATATTTTTAAGAACCAAGCGCGGATTGTTTAAAACAATTATTTCAACGACTGTATTTTTACAAGCATGTATTTTTAAGAATATTTTTCAAGGACCAGGCGTTTTACAGGCGTGTATTTTTTAGGCATAAGATTCCAACCATTAACAAAACTGGTTCTTCTAAAAATGTGTTTAGAGACCATCAACCCTAAAAATGTGATTTGTAAAAACATTTGTTAATAGCCATTGCTCCTGAGGAGATAATTTCTTAGAAATTTAAATATTTTTTTCTATCAGTTTCCATGTAATTGAATGCTTCTAAAAATTATATATAGGGGATGTGTATGAATATTACACTTCGTGATGGGCATACGTGATCTCGTTCTATGCATCCGTTTTTTATTGTGACGTAAATAATTTGTTAACAGTCCCGTGTTTGGTTGGTTGTTTGGCAAGTATTCCAAGGCATATTCAATCAATGCATAGTAATTTAGGGAAACGTTATGGTTGCTAAATACGAAATATCGACGCCTCTAAAGAATAGTATGCTAAGTCTGAAAAGTGAGTTTTTCAGTAGAAGCTCTCATAGTATGGAAGTTTCTTATATCTTACGTGTCATGCTAAGTACATTTTTGCTTATAACTTTGGTTTGGATTGGCCGATGATTACCAAAATTTCAGAGAATTTAAATTAAGGACCGTAATATCTAAAAACGTAAAGAACTTTAAAACATGCTAAGTCGACTTAGCATACTATGGTTCGTAGGCGTCGATATTTGAAGTCTTCCTGCTTATAGTCCTCCAAACAGATTTTCTCTATTTTTTATTTTTTTTCATTATTCGAACCTTTACGTTTTTTTTAATAAATGCGATCTTTAAATCAAAAATTGAGGATCGATCAATAACAAATCTGAAAATATCTGCCAATCAAGGACATCGATGCACCCTCTATTAATATATGACTTAGAGGTTATCTTCAAATATAAGTCCTATGTGATTACTTAATAGTTAATGTCTAGGGAAATGCTCTTGTGAAAGACCTTTGCTATATATAGTAGCCTTGCTAAATATCTGCTAAAAAATAAAATTCTAGTAAAAAAACTTTTTCTAATAATTGCCTCCACAGATTCTTTATCTATAGACCTTTGTAATAATACATCAAGACTTTTAAAATAATATCTCAGGAATAAATACAAATTATTTCTGATATATTATTTTAATATACCTTCAGAATTTAATTAGCGTCCGAAAGTTCTTCTGGGTACTGTTAATTAGGTGATTGAAATTTAAATGAAATACGTTCATAAATTATATGTATTGACTTGATTGATATTATGAAATATTTTCATTAATTAATGTACAATATCAATACGAAGCCGATTGATAAAATACTTTCAAAATATATTAGTCTGTCAAGAAAATCAAGACATTCTGATAGTGGAACTCGCAGGCTATCTCCAAAGATCCTCTATTTATATACCTTTATAATAATTACTTTTATAATCTATAATAATAACTGAAGACGCGTAAACTAATGTCTCAAGAATGATTAATGTTCTAAATATACCTCCAGAATTTAATCAGCGTATATAATATGGGTGGCAATTCTTTTGGATAATAAATGCTATGTATTACCTTTATTAATATTATGAAATATTTCCATTGACATTACATTTATGAAATTATTAATTTAATGTAAAATATCAATACAAGATAATTTCCCCATTCAAGACCTCTGGAACGTCTACTGCCTCTAAAGATCCTATGCTTATAATGATATCTTATAAATATCTTATACACTCCTACAAGTAAATTAGCATATATAATATATCAAGGAATTTTTCTCTTTTTTGTAAAGAAATTCTATTCATGGTCATCTGCACAGTCTTCCTACATTAGAATGTATTTAAAAATCTTCATTTTAAGATATACTCGTATGACTCGATACACAAAAAGAAAAACGTTCATAACGTTGATGAAATCTTACGTTATATCAATGAACTTTGTGCATAATTTTCAACCAAATTGAACTTCAACCAATCGAACAAGGTAATTTTCCCATTGAAGACCTCTGGAATGTCTACTGCACTCAAAGATCCTATGCTTACAATGGTATCTTAAAAATGTGTTCTACACTCCTACTATAGAATATGTCTAGGAATGTTTCTTTCTTTCTACAGAAGTCCTTTCATGGTCGTATGTCCTAAAAAGACAATTGGATAGTTTTCCTCCATTAGAATGTATTTAACAAATTTTCATTTTAAAATATATGACTCCATGCCCAAAACGAAAAACGTTCTTTAACATAAATGAAACCTTGCGTTATATTAATCAACTTTGATCATAATTTTGAACCAAATATAACTTGATTATTTTCTTTATATACTCTTCATTTTCATTATCATAAATATAAAAAAAAAAATACTTTCATATATGCAACGAAACACGTTCATTAATTTAATGTATAAGATTCATTGATACAATAGGAACCTTCTTTAAAACTCGGTATTGTATTCACTGATATTAGGAATTATTATCATTAACACTAATATTAGGAAATTAAAGCAACGCACCACGTTGGGTGTTAATGAAGCCGGCCCCACGTTGGGCGCCAATGTAGCACGCTCCACTTTTGTTGTCACTGAAGTGGGCTTCACGTTGGACGTCAATAAAGCAGCTCGTGAGCGGAGCTGTTATGGCTTCATCCGAAACAACAAGATTTAAAAGAATGCTTTTACTCCTTGTTTAGGAACTACTTCCAGCTTATGATCTGAGTCCATCAAATTGGGCAAACGTGGATAATGATCTTAAGCCTTCAGTGTTCGCTAAACGAATTAGAGTCGGATAGTCCAGACTCGGAGAGTGGGGATTTTATTGAAATTTGGGTTTGCTTAAGTACTTCATGAGAAGCGATATTCTAATCTAGTATTGGTTGTATAAAAATGTAGTAATATCAGAGATGTAGTTTTTGGTACTATTTACTTATTATTATTTTTTTCAATGAAACACTTTCGTAAATGCAAAGAATCATGTGCATTGATGTTATATATTATTTTCATTAATTTTGTGCAATAGCTTCATTATTTAATGAACACTAGCATTCAACTCTAACATGATTATTCTTCTTTAATATATTCCGAATAGTTCATAAAATTTATAAAATGTTTCGTTAAAACTATGAAATGTATTCATACATTTTTTTTAGCAAAAGCTCATTTATAATATAATTTATAATATTTATTTATGTTTTTTAAAAATTGTTTTGCGTACCAAATTACAAAACACATTTCTATACATTACATAAATGAAATCCATTTTGTTCCCGTAGTAAGATTTCATTGTATTAATGAAACATTTCATTATAATAATGCAACTTGTTCATTGATTCAAAGAAACCTTACAATTTATATTTCTTCGAACTTAAAATCACTTTTTACAAATTAATATTTTTTCGAACTCAAATTTGAATTATAAATAATTATTCTGCTTTTAATTTCAAATTATATTTGCTAATATTCATTTTCTTTTTCAAATATTTACAGGAACAATGAAAAACGTAAAGAACGTTCTCGTGATGCTGCCAGATGCCGGCGGTCTCGTGAAACTGAAATTTTCACAGAATTGGCCCAAGTGCTGCCCTTGAAAAAAGAAGATGTCCAACAGCTGGATAAAGCATCAGTTATGCGTATTGCCATATCATATCTAAAAGTTCGTGATATGCTGAAAATGTGTAAGTAGATACACATAAATAAAATACATTCGGAACCTTTTAATAAAAAAATATCTCCCTTTTGCAGTTCCCAAAATCCAAGCCTTGTGTGGTGATTTAGATATATCCTACAATCAAGAAGATTCTGATAAATCCCTAGAAGACAATGAAGATGAAAATAATACTTCTTCAAATCAGACACCAGATGATTCCGAAAATGAGTCACAACAATCTCAATCGACGGATGATAATCAAGATAAATCAGAAACAACAAAGCCAACTGGCGTTGAAGACAATTTAAACGCTTCGGCTGAAGACGAATCGTCATCGTCGTCGCCCATGGAATCGACTCGTTTTATTAAACAAACCCTGGACGGGTTTCTTTTGATTTTATCCAATGATGGGGATATTACATATGTTACCGATAACATTAGCGATTATTTGGGTATATCAAAGGTAGGTGGTGATGGATATATTTCAGGGATTTTGAATTTTATTCATTCTATTTTCCTCTTTTTCAGATTGATATGCTGGGCCAACAAATCTGGGAATATGCTCATCAATGCGATCATGCTGAGCTCAAAGAAGCCTTAAATATTAAACGCAATGGTGTTGCTGATAAAATTAAAGATGAACATTTATTGGAAGAGGGTATCTCCACGGATCATCGTGATCTTTTTGTTCGTTTGAAATGCACCCTGACCAGTCGTGGTCGCAGCATTAATATTAAAAGTGCTTCTTATAAGGTAATTTTGAGGGAAAATTGATCATTAGAATAAAATTTGGCAGTGTTGATGCGTAGATTTAGCCATTAGGCGGACATTCTAAATGCAGTAGAAATCGTTTAAAACGTCGGCCTAGGGATCGGCGAAATTGCTCGCTTGTTATAAACAATCTCAAATATAGGGCAGAACTTTTCTAAGTACTCAGTCGTTATAACATATATGCCGTAGTAAATACAAAAATTTCGACTGTACCTAAAATCGATCGGAGCTTCCCTGAGAAAACCAAATACGGCTAAATGATATAATGATCCCGACCAATTTTAAGCATATCGACTGCGGGTCGAACTGTTTTTGTCTAGACTCTGACTTAAATATTTATGTTTACTCGACCCGACTCTATAGTATTACTCCATTGGGTCCCCCAATCCGACTATAATGCTTTTCTTACTCGTTTTATTTTATTGTTGAAGGTTTTCATATCGAATTTGATTCTTAGTATACTGAAGAACAAGATTGTATAAATTGCACTTTTAGATGTTAAATACACTTTTTATTCCAAACAAATTCTATTTTCAATATAGTTTGATCTGAATTTTTTTCGGGAGTCGTATGAATTTTTCCGAATCAGGCTCCAACTTCACATTAGTGTGAAATTTAGTACAGCGTTTTATTAGAAGATTAAAAAACTCTCCTGACAGCAATTTGCCTTCACATAGTCACTGTATAAAGGTACCTTACCCTCTCTACTTCGCTTGATACTCCACCAAAACATTGACACTTCAACAGCATATTTTTTAGTGACGATAATTGTTAACCGAAGAAAGTCGCTGGTTTTCTGATTATTATTTCAAGTTTATTTGAAGACTTCTGGAACAAATTGTGGAGTCACACTCAGAATTGACCCGTTCTACGCTGTTCAAGCGGAACAGTCGCCTCGTGGTCAGTTTTGCTGAAGATTAAGGCTTTCACAAACAATTTTCGTCGGATTTATGGTTCATCTTTATTTATTTCGGGCTCATTCGAAAAGATCCATGATCCCGGCACAAGGCTCGTTTTTAGACGATTCGTTGCCTTAAATCTTTAAATTAAACTTATGAAAATTAGTGTGTCATAGGTCCCATATTCAGACGTCATCAATGTTTGGTAGATATATTCAGATAAGCTGAGTTGGTTCAGATCAAATGGACCGTTTTTTGGTTTAAACCTGGTCTTAAATATAGTTCGTACCTCTTTTAGAAATAAGTTGATATCTTCATGTTCGCTACTTACATTACAATTACTCCTATGAGGTTTGTTATTACAAATGGGGTATAACTGTCTATGTTTTGGTATAAGCCCAATCGATATTTTGAAGGTTTTAGCCACGTTTTGTAACCTAAAAGACTGTAATTCGTCATATTGGGTTTTTGGAGGCTTAGCAATACCGGTCCATGTTTTGATATAGCTTCCATTTAAAGGTACAACTTACTTTTTCGAAAGCTTGATGAATACAGTTTTGTGGAGGCTAATATACATCTATGCAGAAAATTATCAATGTAGGTCCATGGCCTCCATATAAGAATCCTGTCCAATTTACGTTACTTTAAAAGTTGAAGTCTGATTTTTCAACCGAATAGCCTGTAATTAGATGAAAGTGATCATTATAGGTCCATTTTTGACATAGTCCCCATATAAAGTCCCGCGAAAGAGCACCAGTTTCTTGGTAAAGAAAATAGGTAAATTTCTGAAAAAATAAAGGGGTCCCGCTTAATTTATGCTATGTTAAAGTTCCTAGCCTAGATTTCCAACATTCGTATCTGTAATGTAGTATTACATTTAATAAGGGTATAAGAGATCCAACTAGGAGACAATTTCCAAAGACACACCATAGTTGAGGGTATAACAAGTTCGGCCGGCTCGAACTTAACTACGTTTTTACTTATTTTATAGGAAATGTTTCGTCCGAATTATTTCCTAAAAATATACAGTCTAGTACGCTGATAACGAACTTTCTTTATAGCGAACACATTTCCCGGTCCCGAAGTTTTAAGACAGATCTTTCATACAAATCATTACTTTTATAGCATTAACTTCAAGAACAGGTTTTCGAATTTGTTTTCTGATCTCTCTTCTTTGAGGATCCCACTTAAAATGTTTGAGCAATATTTTTAGAAGTACGAATTGTTCTACAAACAAATTTCTCATTCGATTTTACTAAAAAAATTAATTTCCAAAAATACAAACAATTGCTACAAATCAAGATATTAAGCTATCTCTTCATGTATAATAGGGTCGCTAACAAGTAAATAATCACCCCATGTCTCCGAACTTTGACCTGACCTTCTGGAGGTTTACACATATTTACCAATGCTTTTTTATTCCCTATTGCGAATTTGTCAAATAAAAATCCATACCTTCAAATATCTCAATATAAAAAAATGGACTTAATCCTATTTCAAAATAAACTACTCAATTTATAAGTTTCATTGGGTAGCAATTTTTTATATCAAATGTTATAATTGGTCCACTTTTTAGGGCAGCCCTCATATTACCGCTCCCAAATGTCGGGATTTTGGTCACGTTTTACAATTTACTATTTCGTATTCTCATTGGGTAGACAATCTAGACTTAAGAAGTACGTCCCCATGGATCGGTAGCCCAATTACTCGTTATTTTCGAGATTTGAGGCACGTGTTTTCAACCGTGTTTCCTGATCTATTTCTGTTATTTTGTATTGCCATGGTGGATGGTCTAAGGAGAGAAAATTTTTTTAGCCACCACGTAAAGCAAGAAGTAACTTTTGGAGTATTCAGTTCCTGTAGATCCTATTAACATTAAAAAAGGGCGCTGATGTATATCTAGATGTATTTATATACCAGTACATCTAACATTTTTGGTACTTCTGAAAAAAGTATCAAACAATTTTGGGAACGGCTGATGAGAAATGTTTTCTTGGTTTTCATTTTCATAATTTAATAGTTATTGTTAAAGTTTTATTTTTTAAATCTATCCAAATTATTTTTCATTTCCAGGTCATTCACATTACCGGCCACTTGGTGGTCAATACAAAAGGTGATCGTGTTTTGGTGGCAATGGGTAGACCCATACCCCATCCCTCCAACATTGAGGTACCATTGGGCAGCACCACTTTTTTAACCAAGCATTCATTGGATATGAAATTTGTGTATGCAGATGAAAAGTGAGTACTCACAAAATTCGATCTCAATATTCTAATTTCAAATAAAATTTATTTTCAACTTTCAGAATGTTTAATTTATTGGGTTATAAACCCGAAGATTTATTGGAGACATCATTGTTTAATTATCATCACGGCATCGATTCGGATAGTTTAATGGTGACATTTAAAAATGGTAAGTTATTTTTATTTCCAAACACAAGAATTATATACATATGTATGTAGACATAAACAAAATAATAAAAACATAATTTTGATAAATGAAAGTGACAAAAGGGAAGCAAAAAAAAAAGTTGTAATTCCCTGCAATCTAAGCTGCCACGCAGACAATAAATTATTTATGAATTCTCTTCTGAGATTTTTTCCATTCGCTTGTGTCTCTCTGATGTCTTCTGTTTTAATGTCTGTTTAAATTAAATAAATTACAAAATAATGTTTTACTAATTAGATTAATACTAGACGGTAGAATACAACGACGTACAGGAAGACTACTTAGTGGGGAAGGACATTATTGCTTCCTGTTCATTTTGTGTGTCCACCTAAGGTTTGATGCTTTGTCCAGCACCAGAGGAAAAAAGTTACAATGTTGACACTTTTTCCTCAATGTTTACTTTGTTGTCTCTCTCCTCACTTTGTTCCCTTCCTCCCTGTTTGTCTTTCCACTTTGTTGCTAATAATGTCTTCAACGAGAGCATATTAATGCAACTTAACATCAACTGACTTAAAATCATCCAGACACTGTGATTGTCTATTGTCCCATTACTATCCTTGTGCTTCCGTTCCTTCTTTCTGTCCCGATGCTTAGCTTATTGCTCATAATTAGTTTTGTCACACGCATATTTATACACCAAAGGAAATTGCATTGCTCGTTTTGGGATATATCCACGTTAATGATTGCATTACGGTGTCCATCTTTGATGATGATAGCAATGATTTTTATTTTGTTTTTGAAAGTTCGTTCATGTGTCCTTCGTATGTTTTATGTTTGAAATTTAATGAATAGTTGGGAGAAATGTAGACGGAATCAGTGGATAGGATGGGAAAACTAAAACAATTGCGTAGATTTTTATATAAGACGTAGATTTAAAAGGATTTTTTTTCAGGGCATATCTAAGACGTAGATTTTTATAGAATAGTTTCTTCAAGACCTAAGCCGTAGATTTTTATAGAATAGTTTCTTCAAGGTCTAAGCAGTAGATTTTTAAAGTATATTTTTTCAAGGATAGTTTTTACGAAACCTATCTAAAGCGTAAATTTTTAAACTATATTTTTTCTAGGCCCAATATAAGGCGTAGGCTTTTAAAATTATATTTTTAAGGATAGTTTATTTCAAGGCCTATCTAAGGCGTAGATTTTTCAAATATATTTTTTCAAGGATAGTTTTTCAAGGCCTATCTAAGCCGTATTTTTTAAAGAATACTTTTTTCAAGAAAAGAATATTTTTTTTTAAGGCCTCTCTAAGGCGTAGATTTTTAAAGAATAGTTAAAGAAAAGAATATTTTTTTTTTCAAGGCCTCTCTAAGGCGTAGATTTTTAAAGAATAGTTAAAGAAAAGAATATTTTTTTTCAAGGCCTATCTAAGGCGTAGATTTTTAAAGAATAGTTTTTTAAAGAAAATAATATTTTTTTCAAGGCCTATCTAAGGTGTAGATTTTTAAAGAATAGTTAATTTTTTTCTAGGCCTATCTAAGGCGTAGATTTTTAAAGAATAGTTTTTCAAGGCCTATCTAAAGTGCAGATTTGAGAGAATAGTTTTTTCAAACACTATCTAAGGCTTAGATTTTTAAAGAATGGTTTTTCAAGGCCTACAGTTTTTTCCTGACCTACCTTTGGCTGTTTTTAACAGTTTTTCACAGACCTATCTTTGGCGTAGATTTTTAAAGAATACTTTTTTTAAGGCCTATCTAAGGCGTAGATTTTTTTATCTATTAAGGTTAAGATTTAAGAGTATATATATTCGTGTCGATCATGTTTAGATTCGTTAAACGAAGGTACTCTAAGTAAATATACCCTCCCACCAAACTAAACGTTTTATAACACAATTATTGCACGTGTTGTCCGGATGAGTACGCTAACGGTAATAATAATCGTTTTTTTGCCTTCATGTCTAGTCCATAAAAACAAAAGTTTCTCATGCTTCTGTAGAGGCGATGTAATAAAAAATGCACAACTTCATAAATATCAAAAATGAAAATAAACTGAAAACGACCAAAGTTGCTACTCATCGTTCTGTCGGTCCGTGGACTATAAAAAAGGTAGCTAACACCTACCTTCAAACAAAACAAAAAAACAACAAGGTGTCATTAAACTATTCAAATATTACAAACAAACTGTAATAAATGCAGATAGACTACCTACAGGAAAATAAAAATAAATATATACAATAATAAAAAAATAGGGAGTAACGAGTAGGAATTCTAACACCCTTACATTTTCTGAATCCCCTCGAAGATATTTTGCGGATACAAAGACAACAAATAATTGCACGCAATATAAAAACTACTACTCTGACTACCGAACAACAACGACAACTAATCTACAATAATAATTGTAATATTGCGTTGTTCTTTTTTAAAAAAAAAAAAAAAAAAAACTACAAGACCAGTAATGAAAATATTTAGCCATTTGAAAAGCGCCATTGTCAGCAAAAATTTTCTCATTGCAAGTAATAAAATTTAATGTCAAAGGACATTTACTAGTCCTCACCACTTCGGGAAGGAGCATTTGTTCTTTCTCATTGGTCAATTTCATTTCATTACACAATGCGTTTCATTCATTGTTTGAAGAGAGGAAGGGAGACTGACAGACTGGTAATAATGACAGTGGCAATTAGTAAGGCATTCTAGAGGTAATTATAATTTAAATAGAAATTGAAGGAGGTAATGAGTGAATTGCATTTGTTAAAGTGAATCAGGGGAAGGAAGGTTTTATGTCAATGGAGTCCGAGAGAAATTTTGAGAATATAGAAGGAATTCAGACAATATACGAATTATTACCTCTATAAAATCTAAAGGCCTGTATAAGGAATAGATTTTAAAAGAATATTTTTTTCTAAGCCTATCCAAGGCGTTGTTTTTTAAAGAATAGTTTTTTCAATGCTATATGAGCCGTATATTTTTTCAAGGCCTATATAAGGCGTAGATTTTAAAAGAATAGTTTTTCTCCATCCTATCTAAGCCATCATTTTAAAGAACAGTTTTTCAAGGCCTATCTAAGCGTATTTTTTATAGAAAGTTTTTTTCAAGGCCCATCTAAGGCGTAGATTTTTAAATATTTTTAAAGCCAATATAAATATTTTCAAGGCTGAATCCGTAGATTTCATAATTTTCAAAGGCATACATTTCCTCAAAATATTTATTTTTGGAAGTAGCAATGGCTAAGATACTTACTTACTAAGCTGGCTTATGACAGAACAGTTGTTCCATAAGCCGAGCTTAAAAAATATTTCCAAGCGCGTCGGTCTTGTGCGCATCTAATCCAATTTGATAGACCATTTTCCGAGATGTTGTCTTCCACTTGATCTTTCCATCGGATTCGTGGCCTTTCCCTTCTGCGTGAACCATCAGCTGGTTCGCTTTAATATGCCTCTTGAGCTGGGGCATCCTCATCCATTCTCACAACATGACCTAGCCAACGTAGTTGCTGCAGCTCGATCCATCTGAATATGTCGATGTCCGAGAATATATGGTATAGATCATGGTTCGATGCAGATCGGCACATATATCTTCCGGAGTATTTTTCTCTCAAACACTACAAGAGCTGCCTCATCTGCTTGTCCAAGTACCCATGCTTCATATCCATACAACAGCACGGGTAGTATCAACGTCTTGTAGAGTGTGAGTTTGGTCTGGCGGGAGGTGACCTTGCTTTTGAGTTGCTTACTCAGACCATAGTAGCATCTGTTGGCCAACACTATTCTCCTCGGGATTTCAAACCTAATGTTATTAGTTTTATTTATGGCGGTACCGAAGTATTTAAAATCTTTATCTACTTCGAAGCTGTAGTTTTTAAGGGAACCCCCCCATTCTCGGGGTCAAATTTTTTTTTGATTTAATACGATTCTACGCCAATTCAAGAATGTCTCTACAAAATTTCAATTGAAAATCTCAAGAACTCTTGAAGATATAGCAGATTTATTGTGTCAGCATCAAGTGACGGCTAAAGGGCTTCTCAAACTTTAAACGCGTTTTTCTCTTTTGCGAATGGCGGGCACGATAACTCAAAAACTAATAACCCAATCGATTTCAAATTTTTACACGTTTCTCTGTGAGTGTATAGCTATCGTATGAACTAGGATAAAGCCAATCGGTGAAGATCTTCCTTATTTTTGTAACTTGGTTTTTGGTCAAAAATCGGCGATTTTCCAAAAATATTTTTTCAAAGGTCCGCCATTTTGTTAATTTTAGAGCGAAGTCAACAATCCTAGTACATACGAGAGCCAGACATGTACTCTTTCTAACACCGTTGGAATTTTCGGATTCCGATGTTCCAGTGAGGAGCTATCATGCCCGCCATCAAAAATAAGGACTTTTCTTTAATTACAAAAAACAACAACAAAACAATAACATTTTTTTTAATTATTTTTCTTCTCTTTTAAATCTTCAAATATATATGTGCAAAGTTACAAACCTTAACAAGCATTGGTATTGATTTACCAGCCCATTGTAAATCTTAAAAAATTAAAATCGAGAATGGGTGGGGTTCCCTTAAGTTCTCAGTTGGTCCAAGTCTTCTGGTCATGGAGTGTTATTTCTGTTCATGGAACCATGGAGTGTTATTTCTGTTCACCTTTGCCAGGATGTTAAACAGGTCACACGACAAACTGTCACCTTGTCTGAATCCTCGTTCGGTATTGAAGGGCTCCGAGAGGTCCTTTTCGACTATAAACGGCTGAACTTGTGCCACCTAAAATTATCCCGCATAGCCGTATTAATTTTACAGGATAGGGATAGGGAAAGTGTCGATGTGGTTTTCGTGGATTTTTTTCCAGTATTTGGCGCAATGTGAAAATCTGGTCAATGGTGGATTTGCCAGGCCTGAAGCCGCATTTTTATGGTACAATAATGTCATTGATCATTGGCTTCGTCGTTCATACAGCACGCTGGATAGGACTTTATATGCGATGGGAAGGCGACTTATTCCTCTACAGTTGGCACATATCGTCTTGTCTCCTTT